CAAAGACTTCGAGGCTGCAGTGGAGCAGCTACAAGTGGCAACTGTAAAGTTTCACTCTGCACAAACAGCTTGTCTTTGAAAGGAGCAAAATCCTGGACCTCACTACTTGATCACTTGAGACTTACTGCAAACTTCACCACTTTTAAGAGAGCCACCAAGTCCTGGTTAGTTCAGCAACAGACTCATGTTTAATTCCTTGTAGCTCTGTCACAGCTAAATGGGTCTTATTGTATCTTGCTGTAGTTTATTCTCTCTTTTTCCTTTTTAACTGTTCTAATCTTTTATTTACACAAAAGCCCTTCTAGGGACTGGTGATGCTAATTAGCATTTGTATAAACACTATGATACTCGCATTGGATTGCTGTTTTCAGTTTGTCTATGTCCCTATCAAATAAATCATAAAGATAAATAAATAAATAAACCGTTTCGCTTCATTGCAGGCAGAGACTTGAGCGCCTGGAGAACAGATACAGACAGAATGTGCTACTTATTTATTTACTTGCATAACAGTGAATGAATTATGGGCTTCAGGGGCCAAGCATGCAGATACAAAAACACACACAGGCGCACAAGTATGCCAAACTCGTGATGATTATCCAAAAATGCACATGGGGAGACGTGCTGTAGAGACAAACAAACACAGCTTTCTTACGAGCTCACAAAAATTAAAACATGCCCTTAAAGCATTCTCACCAAAACTGAGTCTCAAACCCCTTCTAACATAAACAAATCTAAAATACGAGAACATTCCACAGGCGAAGAATGATGCTGTCGCAAATAAGATAAATGATAATAAAATCTAGAAAAGCAGAGTTGCTGGTGAGCTCTCTATGGCTGAGAAGTGCAATCGCACCAAGGTTGTCAAAACATTTTCAAATGATACTCTGTCGTACTTTTTTTCAACCACTCTCAGAGCTCCCCAAAACATGTCTGTGAAGTTTTTTGCTTTAATCCGCTCAGATCCTGTATTTTATCATGCCTATGAATCCTTCTACTTCAGCCCTGCTCAGAACAGGCTGTTTCTTTTTGGGGCTTTTTATGCCTTAAATTAGAGACAGGACAGTGGAGCGAATCAAAAATTGGGGGGGAGAGAGAGTGGGGAATGGCATACAGGAAAGGAGCAACAGGATGGATTGACACTTAGGAATATAGCCTAGGGCACACCCACTAATCACTAGGCTACCGGGGGCCCCAGAACAGGCCGTTCCTGTGTCTGTAGCTTTAAATGTAAATGAGCTGAGTCTGACCACGCCCCTCTCTGGAAGGGGATGCGGCTGGGTCTTTCTCGCTCAATGCCCGATTGTTCACGGTGAGAAGGCAGACTCAGAGGACAGAACAAACACCTAGCTGTGGGTGTGTCACCCACCTGGGGGAGGGGTTACTGCCATTTGTGATGTCACAAAGCGCAGCCTGTTTGAGCACATGTTCTGAAAAGTGGAGCAGGGAAAATACAGATGGGATGGGATTATTTCTCATAATCTTTTGTAGACAGGCGAGGGACACACATGGCAACGTGTATTTTGCATAATATGTGACCTTTAAAGATCAGTCGTATGCATAAGATAAAAAACTACAGATTTTCAGTGATACTTTCGATCAAACGCTGCCACAGGTAAAAGAGAGAGAGCAGCTGGGGTCCACTGAAATGCACACGTCTGACGTTTCTCAAGTCCTTTTGGCATCTCAAAAATATACAAAAGTAATGCTTACATCTCTTGCAAACGCACGGACAGCAGACACAAATACAATGGCAATTTTTTGATAGCGAAACTATGCCAACGTATTTGTGCAATAAAGACTGTGCATGAGTTTGCTTGCAATATTTGGTCATTACAAATTAGGTATGAATGAATTTGGTATCAATTGTTTTATTTTGACTTGTATCGTATCTAAGGTTAAAATTCTGGTGGCTTGAAAACCCTAGACTGCACATGTGTGTGAGAAAGAGTGTTATACATTACGGAAAATGGAGGACAGTAGGGTAAAGTTGTTTAGCATACAGCTGATACATGAACACATACCTTATGATTGTTTTTATTTAAATATATTGTATCATTTGTACTTTTTGTTTTTAATGCTGCGTTGTTGCAAATTTTAGACACGTGTAGAGTTGGTTGAGTGGTGAGCGTAGTGGAGAAGAGAACGAGTCTTCAAGTCAACTAAGTTCAAAAAGAGGAGTGGAGTAAAGATGAGAAGATGGGTGTGGAGGTGATTGAAAAGTTCTGTGTCAGGAGTCTGGGTGATAATCCCCCCTGTAGACACTCGCTCAGACTCAGACAGCAGTGTGTTCATAAGCAAGAGAAGAAGAGACACCCCCCCCCCAGACTCTCAAATAGTGACAGAAATCAAGCACTGCTTTACTTTGCCAGAGACCAGAGTTGGCTTCTGGGAAAATCCGAGCAGTCTATTAATGAATGTGTGTAGGCATGAGATATTTCATATACAACAAGCATGAGGTTTATGCACTTCTTTAAGAAAATGTGGGTGATAGAAATTAAGAAGTGGAGGTACAGCATAGTCCAGGATAATATGTGGAGTAGACGCTCAAGAGATCAGGTTTGAAAGTTATAAGTGTTCAAACACATGTTGTATACTTTGAAGTACTTAGACAGATCTTTATACAAGTTAAGTTTAAGGGGTTTGTAAGGTAACAGGCACATAAGGATTTAAATAATATCCATATTTGTTTAAAAAAAAAATGTTTTATTGTGCCTTAGTATGTCATTTCAAATACATCAGGTAATCTTTTGCTGTGGGTGTTATTGTTTTGAAAAAATAATGTTCTGTGGTTTTAAAGCCTGGATGAGTTCTCTATTAGACACCCATGACATGAAAACAAGAAGGGGTTGCACAATTCTGCAGCTCTCAACGCTGCCTAAGAAAATACTTTTAGACATGCTCAGATGTTGGATAGGGTAGGAATTTGGGAGAGAGTCGGTAATGACATGCGGGAAAGGAGCTGCAGGATGCACTTGAACCAGGGCCGTCCTTTTGGAGGTCTAAGTCTCCGTACATGGTGCATGGTGAACCAACCGCTAGGCCATCTGCACCCCAATGAGCAACAGTGCTGAAGCTGTATATGCTTTTGTCGGCTACCACAGCCCAGCCCTTCATGTTTCTGCTGAAGGTTTTTATGTTTTATACAAACGAAGCCTCTGTCTGTCTTCACACATTACATTTGGCTTCATAGTTTTTTATATGAAACTGAAACCCTTAAGTTGGAAGCTAACCTTACGTAGAAGATGGCTGAGATATGCTGGAGGATTGCCTAGCGGTTAGGTCGCACCCCATGTATGGAGGCTGTAGTGCTCCAAGCGGTTGGCCCTGGTTCGGGTCCGACCTGCAGCTCCTTTCCCGCTTGTCATTCCCCATGTGATTGATAAAATCCCCTTTAAACCAGTTGAATAATTGCTCATGGTGCAAAGTTAAAAAAAAAAAACGATTTACGATTATTATCAGACATGCATGCAAACATGATAACATTCAAATTCAAATATTACTTTTACGTGAGCTCTGTCTGTCCCTGATGACTCGGTGAATACAAGACAGAGAGACAGAGAAAGAAAACAAGTGTTGTCTCCGAGCTCCAAGCATAAGAGAGCTTGTGTCTTTGTTGGTCTGTGCGTGTGTGTACAAGGGAGGCGGCTGCAGACAGACAGGCTCTAGGGGATTATGGAACAGGACAGGGCACCATAACTCATCGGGCCGATCACTGGCCACAGACAGACAGGCTGGGTTGAATGCTGATGGCTCACTGATAGGAATCTGCCACCAACAACCGACAAAGAGCATTTATCTTCGGGGGAAACCCGGCCCTATTCTCACCCTCAAACAAACACACACATACACACACACAGAGAGCGCATTACCAGCCTGATGCACACACGCTCTGTTCATTTTTGACTCATCAATGTCAAAAACACTGACATGGCTTCATTTGTCAGTTTAACTCGAACTCTCCCTCCTTGGAAAAAGAGCCAAGGAAAAATCAGATCATCTGGATTCTCTCCTTTTCATGTCTGGATCTGATTTTTGTTATTCGGGCTTACAGTCCTGTCATTTCTGAAACGTTTCTACACACCTGCTTGAATTTAATGTAGAAGGTTGTAGCAACATCACAAAAACAAAGTGCAACTTTTACTGTATTTTTCAAGACAATGCTTCCTGGGGAATCAATGACATCATAATATAATTAATAGGAATGAAATGGCAAACAGGTGAAACTGGACTTTGATTGACTTTTCTTGATTTAAATTCTGAAATAAATAATAATTTCATATCTTAAAAGCCCCCATAAATAGTTTGTTATTAAAATGTATCATCCTTATATTCACAAAAATCCCCAGTTGAAGTTCCACCACCATGATGTCTTTGTGCTTACAGAGTGCAACCACAAAGGCATAATATTGATGTGCCCCTGTGTTATCTTCTGTGTGTTACTGTGTTGAAGAACGGCCAGATGAGGGCCAGATGAGGGCCAGATGAGCACACAACGTGTCAGCACGCCGCAGAAGCTACGCATAAACACACACTCAGGTATGCACACACACACACACACAGCACTATTCCACCTTGCCGGCTCCTATGATACATATCGCCAGCTCTTATTCCCTATTCCGCCTCCATGTGGTACGAGCTGCATGCGAGGCGTAACAGCGACGTAAGTATTCAAATGTCTGTAAGATCTATATGATTAGAGGTCATAAGTACAAATTTGAGGAGGTCAAGAGCCATTAAGTTCTGAGGAAATCTAAGTCTGGTTTGATCCATAATTATCATAACAGCCACTGAAATACCAAACTTGTGCCAAGTCGACATTTTACCCAGATATAATGTGGCAAACTCTAAAAATCCTGTCACCTCTACTTTCAAGACCCTGGAAAAAGTGTCAGCATGTAAAATGTTTTCTGAACCAGTGCTAACGATTGCCGGATCATGTTTTTTTTTTTGTTGTTGTGTGTTTGAGTGTGTGTGTGTGTGTGCGTGTGTTTGTGACGTACTTGCAACTCCTGATGCCAGGCCGTAAAGCAGGCCTCCCTCGTCTTTGGGTTCAAAGATGTGTGTTGCCGGAGGCGGACATTTCTCCTGCCTGATGAAGTTGTAGAGCAGCGTCTTCACCAGTCGACTGGTTAGAGACAAACTGGAGGAAAGAGAGGGAGTCAAAAGAAGTTAGAATTTTCTGAGACATGACAGTTCAGCGGTGAATATTTCAAAGTCCAACCTTCTTTCAAACTTGTCAAAGGTCTTCAAAATTTGAGGTTTTATGTAACTGTCTATTCAATACTGAAACATTGGTTTATGAAACAGGTTCCATCTCAGCTGCAAATGTCACCAAGCCCCAAGGTTATCAAGTCCTGAGGTCTAACTTTGATTTCTAAAGCTGTTCCTCTGCTGCTCAACAAAATATTTTTTTTAAAATTCTTGAGACCATATAATAGTTCTTTGAATATTAACAAGCGTAATTGAAGGATTTGCTTTTTCAAGAACTCTAAGTCATTATGTGCCAATAAGTCTTTTCTGACGGTTGTCAATCCTGTCACATCCATTCCAATAGAATAAAAACAAATCCGAGACACAGGACGTTTTTTTTATGCAGATGTGTGTGTGTGTCTCAACTTCAAATAACTTTATTTATGCATACAGAGCTTGTGTGAAAGCATCAGTGTGTATACAGTTAACGTACTCTTCAGCACAGCACAAGAACATACCACACAAACATACACACACATTTGACCTACTGTATAACGTCCATAGTGCGATCAACAGTGGTGAGTTAAGTTTTTAAGCCACAATAAATAATGCATGACAAATAGAATGCGAGAAATGCTAATATGGTGTTAAACATGACTAACAATTCATGAGTGAACTTGTAAAACACTAAAAGGCATAATAAATAAGCCGTGAATAATGCTGGGGAAATGTTAATATGAGTGGTGTTGGGGTGCCTGTGTCCTAGTGGTTAGCGCTCGCACCCCATGTGCGGAGGCTTTGGTCCTGTAGGCGGGCGGCCCGGGTCTGAATCCGACCTGTGAGTCCTTTCCTGCACGTCACTCCCCACTCTCTCTCTCCCTGGTTTCTGACACCATCCACTTTCCTATCTCAAAACGAAGGCATAAAAAGCCCCAAAATAAACCTTTAAAAAAAATGAGTAGTGTTAAAAAAAAAAAAAAAAAGATCTGTGTACTCTTGAGTCACTGGAGTCTATATCTGTCATCACATCTCCCAGGGAGTGAAAAACACACTAAAAGGTGATGTAAATTGTCACTACTATTAAGATACAAACAACCTTGCTTTTCCAACAGACCCAGTGTTAAAACCATGGCCTGCCCTCTAATCTGTTTTGCCAACATCAACTACTTGGAAGCCTTCCTTCAGCTCACTAGCAATTATTCCAGAGTGCTCTCGTTTGGCTCTTATGCTGTGAGAGCCCTAAAAGAAAATTACTTCCGTCCTCTGTGTGCACCCATCGAAAAACTGCAGCGCTACACTTCCAAATACAAGTGCAGTGAAGCATTTGTCTGACTTCATTTACATTCCAGATAAGAGTGAACTCAGGGAGCTGGGTTGAAATCTTTTAAAAGAATAGATCTGCATCATTTGGTTTCAACTTCTGCTTTTATTTTGTTGACTTGTCACCAGATTTGAAAACTTGCCAGATAGTCTTACCTCAGACAAGGTCACAGAATACACAAAGGTCTGTGTGGACTAGATTTGTTTCCTTCCCCCCCCCCCTCTCTAGTATAAATTGAATGACAGGGGAAGACATTGTTTGGAGCATGATGAGACTGACCGGCAGAGATGCTAAAACTGCATCAGAGTCTGGACGGATGGAACATTAGGCCGGATCAGACGGTGTCACATTGGATTGGAGGACATCCAAAGTGATTTGGGCCTGCTTTCAAAAAAGTCTTTAACAGATTGTGGAAGATCCACTTAACTCATAACTCAGTCTAAAAAGTATGAAATATCCCCCTGTTATGTGTTTGTATTACAAAGCTGGATGTGGGGGTGATGATCAGATCTTACACCTTTAAATAAGGTACGATGTAGCCGTGTAGATTAGGAAATTACATTTTGTATTTGTTTCATTTACTCAATTGTGTGTATGTGTGTTTGAGTGTTTTCTTACCATCGTCCCTTCATGACATGCTGGTAGATTAATCCATCTCGGAGGATGTCTTTGTGGAAAAGCTGATAGGAGAAGAATACCAGGAGTGTGGTCACTGCTTCAAACAGGATGCTATAGGTGATGTCTCTACAGAAGAAAACACAAACGCATCCAGAGTTACGTTAAACTGTCTGTTATCACCATCAGTTTATAGGAGCATGTTCAATTTCAATACAGTTTTTTCATGATCGCCTGCTCCCTCCCTCACAGGACGATGAAAAGAATATCATCTCTTTATGAAAAAGCCATTTCCTGATTTTGTCCTGTTCATGTGTAACGCCTGGCTTCTGACACTGAAACCTCATCATTCTCCTTCAGCTACATGTCCGATGTGTCTTTGGGCAAGACATTTGGGCACCACAAGTTGCTCCTGCTGCTTTGTCAGCGGCGTATGAATGTGTGTGAATGGGATTGGTTACTTCTGTTGGTCACTTTGCATAGCTGCCTCTGCCTTCAGTGTGTGAATGTGTAGGTGGGATCTGCTGTGTAAAAACACTTTGAGTAGTCAGAAGCTCAAGTGTTCATAATAATGTTTGTTAAAGTAAGAAAAAAGAAAAAAAAAAAAACATAAAGAAGTGATCTCCTTCAAAGAAAAAGAAAAAAGTGAAGTTTTTACAAAGAAACCCTCTTTTAAAACATTTAACAACATGTTGTCTTGCTCCCTTTCATCATCCAGAAAATGCCCAGAAAATGTGAACTACTGTCAAAAGTTTCCAAAACACACGTTCAGGAGTTGAATTCTGGACCAACAACTACAGTTTCCAAATGAATTAAAGTTTGTATGTATGTACCAATATAAGTCACAGCACAGAGAAACTTTCCCCTGTCAGTGAATGAATGTTTTTACTGTCCAACCTTGCACAAACAGTAAAAGTCAAAAACACGTTTAAGGTAACAATCAGCTAAAAATATTTTGGAGTGGAGGGCAGATCTTAGCCGTTACCTGCTTCCTGTCACATAAACACACCACTGAACCAGCCTGACCTTAAAGAGGGGTCAAGGTTGTTTTCCACTTTTACACACTCTTCCAGTCCTGACTCACAACAGGAAAATATCACTCTCCCTATGTGAGACATTAACACAGATTAATTCCACATCATGGTCTTCAACCGAGATGTTTAATATCGTTTCATCCGTCAATAAGTTCCCTGATTTACAGACGGATCATTTAATTGATTTAAAGTCAGAAAAAGTAGAGCAGACTGTTCGAAATTTTTACAAAATGTAGCTTCTTATACCCCTGCCATCAGTCGAAACCCCCCAAAATTTGTTTTCAATCACTTTTATAATGACTTACAGATGAATTGAGTTTTCCACATTTTGTTGGTACATTGATGAGTAACAAAGAGACTGCTACACACGCAGCAAACAAATGTCTTTCCTATTAACTCTGACTCATGTTGATCTAAACTTAAGCAAAGTGGGTGCTCTCTGTGTCGAGGCTCATATAATCTGATAAATCCATTCAATCTAAAACTTGCTTTTTTAAAACTACATTTCTATTTATTCATCCAGGTTCTTTAGGTTAATTTAATATGTACATTTTGGTAAAACTAAGAAACCTAATAAAGCAGCAAAGTTTTGAGGCTTAAATTACAAGTGCTTTAATAAGTCTGTGGTATTTAATCCACACATACTCTATATCAGGGGTCCTTAGGCGAGACAAGTGGAGAACCAGTTGTGACCCAAATTTCTGTTCTTTTTTAGATTTATTCGATGAAAAAAAGTGCAGTTTGGACCTAAGATGGTACGAAACTTGTGAAGGAACAAACCAACATGTTTAAGAGTGCTTCATAGACTTTTTGACACTTCTTTCCCCCAGTCACATGGAAAAAAGCTCCGCGACCCACTTTTGGGTCCCGACCCACCAGTTGAGGCACAACATATAACAGATTCTGTGTAAAAGAGGATATGATGATAAATGTAGGTTCAATGTGTCTATAGATATCAACTTCATGTCTCAAAAAGATCATTTTGAACTACTTCATTCTCTCTTCCTCGTACACTCAAGCCTCTAAAAACGTATCCGAAGGAACTGTTAAAGTACAAAGCTCTGTTAGAGATTGTGGGGGGGGGAGCTATACCAAAAGAATGGTAATGTTCAGAACCAAACCAGGAGCACGTACGAAGGAAGTGGGCTGACGGCCACAAAGTGGTGAAGGGAAGAAAAACAGGTAGAGTCTCAAACGCTGGGAACAATGAATAATGTTGGAATGCCGAAATGCATTTACATAAGAGCCAGGGTTTGATGTCCGGAGACAACAGAAGAGAAGGAGAGATGAAGAGAAAGAAAGCATGATTGGTCTGGTAGACAGGGAGAGGAGGAGGAGGAGGAAGAGGAAGAGGAGGAAGACGCCAAGAATAACACAATACAGACAAGGGAAAAGAGAGGAGAAGTGGAAGATGCTGCGTTAAGGAAAAACCAACTGTCATGTTCCTGTGAACTTGTTTTGACACTGCAGGGGAGATTTTGTCTGCAGAGACGCACACACTGTATCTTTGTCTGCATGTGACAGACTGAGTGGCAGGCTGGAGATAATCCTACCATTGATAAGTAAGGGAAAAAAAAACCTGAAACATTCACTTATTAAAGTGTTAGCGTGCACACCGCCCACTGGGAGTAAAGGCTGATACCAGTTTTCAATCATTATGTTCCCTCGTCTCCCACTCACTGGCACCGCTCCTGAACCAACTTTCACTTCAGGCCTTCTCTTCTTTCAACACTTTCTCTTTCTTTAATTAGTTTAGGTTCATCCTGTCCTGTTTTTTTTTCATTTGTTTCCCCTTTGTTCAGCATTTTTCCAGCGCAGGGCTCCAGCGTGTCAGTTCGGTTGAGGACTCAGGAAGTGAAACATATGGACATCAAAAACCTTAACTTGTTCCATAAATGGATTTCAGCTTGTCTTTGTTAGGGTGAATCAAGGACCAAGCAAACAGAGGGTAACACACACACACACAAACTTTTTCCCAAACTGTTTTCCATTAAGAGCTTTATGACTAACATCCAGGACACTTGAGAAAAAAAAAAAGAAAGCAAACATGAATGAAAAAAAGGAACGGGGTGGGCTGCACAAAAGTCTCCAGTAATTGATTGATTCCTTTAAATATTATGGTTATAAATAAATGTCAAACAAGTGATCTTTAATAATAAGTGATGTGACATTAACAGATCACTGTGTAGATTCAGTTAGGGCAGAGTGAACAGGCCAGCTGTGTAAAATGTCACTTTACGGCGCTGTCTTGCATGTCTGACCTTTTTAGTGTACGCAAGACACAATGGGGTGTTTAATTCAACTGTCCTCACACACACACACACACACAGGAGATACTTACAGCAGGGGCACTTCAACGATCAGGTGAACGAGGTTAGACAGCAGCTCCTCGAGGAGGTCCTGTTTGCCCGTTTCTAAACAAGGAGCAGAGAGAGTTATTATATGAGACACAGATGACAGCTCCCTGTTGGTCATATCTCTCTTTGCTCCCTCCAACTCTAACTTTACCAATCTCTCTCTCTCTCTCTCTCTCTCTCTCTCTCTCTCTCTCTCTCTCTCTCTCTCTCTCTCTCTCTCTCTCTCTCTCTCTCTCTCTCTCTCTCTCTCTCTCTCTCTCTCTCTCTCTCTCTCTCTCTCTCTCTCTCTCTCTCCTCTCTCTCTCTCTCTCTCTCTCTCTCTCTCTCTCTCTCTCTCTCTCTCTCTCTCTCTCTCTCTCTCTCTCTCTCTCTCTCTCTCTCTCTCTCTCTCTCTCTCCTTCCTTCCATGCTTGCTGTGGAGAGACGTAGCAGTAGGTAATATTGGGATTACAGGGTTTAAATGTAAGACTTTTTACATCCATTTAAACCCGCATAACATGCAGAGCTGGTCCATAATCACTGGAGAAAATATGAAAGAATGATAGAACCACCGCAGGAACAATGTGGCCTTTAAATGTTTCGTTTATATTGAATGTCTTCAGTACTTCCTTGCAATATATGACAAAAATGGCAAATGATAAAACGGAGAACAATTTATATCAGAAGGGTAGTGACAGCGTTTGTTTCAGGTCTTGACTCTGATGGCTGAAAAAGGTTTTATCAACCTTCTCCGAACACTATCCTCAGTCACAACTATTCCCACTAAGCTTTAATGTCATTATTAAACACAGATATTTCTCTTGTCTGATTAAGTCTGTGTGTGACTTCCTTAAAATTATCATGAAAGACAGGATGATCTATATCATTAAAGCACTTTTTTAGGAACCCTAGGTAGATCTAGTCCTAAATCCAGGATTATCTTCTATCTATCTCTTTCAACAAGCTGTTTTTGTCTCTTTCATATAGAATGCAAATAAAGGTATCTTTATAACCAACCACCCGACACAGCAAATATGCTCAAGGGCCTGCAGAAAGCTGAGAATGAGAGGGCATTTGTCTTGAGGAAAATGTCAAAGTGCATTTGTATGAGTGACTTCTGGTTACAAACGTTTAAACGCTGCCTCTGCAGAATGATAACAAACGAAGGAGTTAATTCATTATTTTTCCTTTAAATTGTATTTTCATTGCCTCTGTAACCCTAATTTATTTAAATGTGTCAAGGTGTCCTAGAAGCTGCACATTTGCAGAGTGGTTATATCAATTGGCAACCCCTTGGAGGTTAAGAATGAAGCCAGTACGGTTCTGCAAAAAAACCTGCAGTTCCTCTAGAGTCCACTTGAGGCCGCTGGCTGCAAAAGCCAAAGAATCCCCTTTTAGCCCCCAGCAATTTTTTTTTTTTTTTTAGCAGAAAAAAACAAAACTACAGCCTGGATCAAAAAAATGGCTCAGGGCGCCGGTGGACAAGTGGTTAGGGCATACGCCTTGAACCTTGAGGCTGTAGTCCTTGAAGCGGGCGGACTTGGTTCAAATCTGATCTGTGGCTCTTTCATTCGCCATTCCCCACTCTTTATGTCCTTAATTTACAACTTTATCCACTGATCTATCGCTACAATAATGGCATAAAAAAGCCCCAAAATATACATAACATACAAAATCGCTTTAGCCTCAATAGCTTATTTTGTAATTAGTGGATATAGCATTTCTAATATGGTAATCGCCATCGTTGGGCTACAAAACACCCCTTCAGAAACCAATGGGTTACTTCACTGGGACTACTTCCACCATGCTTTAGGCAGTCTCTGGTTTATTCAGTGAAAAAAGCTCAGATGGGGCTAGTGTTTGAGGTCAGATAATGATGTGCAGTCCATTGACGTAGATTCAGACTTTATTAACAGAGTCTCTCAGAGACATCTGATCCAGGTCAGTAGTCTGGGGTTTTTGTGCTCAATTAAAAAGCCAATTTCATATTTCTCTTTAGGTAGGAACAGAAGTGTTACGCAACTGACCCTAGTGACTGTATTGTAATAACTCACATGTAATGAGTCTACTCAGAGATGAGAACTTTAGAGGGTGGTGTTCAGCAGATTTCTCAGTAGATGATGTGGATTTTGTGAAAAGTATTCACAAGTGATCTTAAGTGCCTAAAAGCTCAATCAGTCTTACATAAAACAGCTGCTTCATACATAAAAAAAAAAGGGCTTTCACAACAACAAAAAAGTTAAATCCTTTAAAGCTGACTTGTATTCAATTTCTGGCTCTATTTCCACCTCCCACGCCAAACCTTTTAATCCAAATGAGTCAGTGCCTCTCACCTCCACAGGAGCCTGGTGCCCTCTCCTGGTAGGAGAACTGTAGGTGCAGCTCCTCCTCGCTCATCTCCCTGATGAACACCTTGAGCAGGCAGCGGATCATGAACAGAGCGTTGTGGGCCTGCCAGATAAACAGCTGACTGCAGAGGAGGAGGAGGATAAAAAGGACATCACATTGAGGTCAGAAACAGACCGAAATAAACGTTCTATTAAGGGATGGATGTGTGCCAGTGGTTTTATTTCCTAAATTTACAGAGGAAAGCTTGGCTGGCCGTGTGCGTTCCTCAGTTATATGTGGCTTGAAAAGATTTCAGGTGCTCGTTATCAGTGGAGAGTGGCTCGGGTACATGAGTAACTCGACCAGAGGAGGCTGGTAATAGTGTCCTTGTGTTGTTGCTTTTTTTTTTTTGCTTACTGAGAATGAATAAGTTAACACAAAAAAGATGAAAGTATTAACCCTCAAGTAGTTCTTAAATAATGCCATTACATCTAACTTGACCAAAAATAAATACAGCAGAAGGTATATCCTCTGTAAATGTCTCTCTGAGTCATGACTGTAGACAATGAGTGAGAAGCGTGAGTCCTGCCAGCTGTATTGTTGTCGGAGCTGTGTTTACATCATGTTTACATTGACGTGACGGCCCTGTGTATAAAGCTGTTTTAGTCAAGGACTAGAGAAGTGAAGAATAACACAGCCTATTCACTGCTTATTTAGATGTCACGTATGTGTGTTTAGATCACGGCCATTCTGTGTCAATTTATATGCAATGTGAAGCTACGAGCTAACCAAAGTGTGCTAACATTAGCCTGCTAACACAACAATGCAGGCCACAGGCAATTGCAGCTCGAGCACAGGGCAACTTTGTGCTTAAAGGTGCTTAATTATGATGCGTTCTAATAACTACTAAAGACCCCCTTCGTGTGAACTCCAGTCAAGAGGGGTTGGAGGTGTGCCGCTGGAGGAGAGCGGAGGCTTCAGAATAGCGAAGGTGTCGCCAAACAGCAGTTTGTTTTGGTTTCATGCTGGTGCTCAAGGGCGACATCTACTGGATCAAAAAGTCGCACAGTCTTCCTTTACAGTTCCTGTTCTTCATCTGCATCTCCCTCCATGCCCATATAATCATGATGATTAGAAAGGGAAACAAATAAAGCACTGTATGGTCACTCTTTAAAAAGTACTGTTCCTGACAACCGCAATAAAACCGCAGCTTGAAAACAGATGAATGTAACAATATCTTTCACCATACAACATAACAGTTTGACACAAACTGCATCATATTCATAGAACAGGGGGGGGGGGGGGAAGAAATCGGGACCAAGTTGGTGAGAAACACGTAATGAGGAAAACAAGAAATGATTGAAAACATCCTGTTCAAACCACAAAGTTTCTCAAGCACAAAGCGCCGCGCCAACTGGGAGTTGTCTAATCAGTCCCACAAATTGACAATTTGCACATGACAATTATGTCACATGCAGAAAATGTAGGTTTGTTTACAGGACAAAATCTGGTCTAAATTGTCTGAAAAATAAATGGGTGTGGATGGGGAGCGATAACTTCAACCTCTAATGACGTTTAAAGAGATGGAGGAGTTCCCACCCGATGGATTTTGGTGACTTGGGCAGGGTCAGTCTGTGTGGAAATGGATTTTGGCAGTGAGTGGAGAATAATGCCACATGTGTTGATGGTTATACCTCGGGTGTTTTTCTCATGGGAAACTTAAAAAACCCTCTTCAGTGTTTCTGCCCTGTACAAAATAAAGATCCCCTGCTTGCCTGTGTCCAACCGATAACTGGACTGCACCCCCGAAAAAAATGAACACTGACATGCATCATTGCTGATACAGCCGTCAGAGATGGTTGTCTCCTCTGAGGTTTCCCATACTCACTCTTGGCATTCTGTGGAGATTTTCAGCTCTTTGGTTCTTCCCAGGAAAATTCGGACAAGTGCGCCAAAGTTCCCACTTCTGGGATTGTTTTCAACTTAAAGAGGGGGGAAAAGAAAACAGGGGAGAATGTATCAGTGATATGAAATAGGAAATCGAAACGTACAGTTCTTACAAAAAAGAATAACTTCTTGTTTTTTATCTTAATTTTGAGTCTGAAGAAATAGAGAGTCATTGTAACCTCAGCACTGATAAGACCAAAAAGAAAACTTTAAAGGGATAGTTCTGGATTCTGGGTTGGACATTTTAAAGCTAACATAGTCCTCACAAGAGGGCTTTCTGTCCTCATTGTAAAAAGGAGAAAATATTTAAACACATACACCTAACATGAAGTTTTTTTTAGAAGTTGGACTCTTTTAGTTGGCTAAATTACATTCAGTTCTGATGACCCTTAACAGTGGTACATAGCTTAGCTACCATGTTGGTGCTTTACTCGATGAAGAACACTTCATTTTGATTAAAAAGCTCATCAAACCCACTTTTAAAAAAAACGGAACCACCCTTTAACTGTATTTATTAAAAAGCAACATACTGAGGGTCTTGGCCAGGGGGATGACAGCCTCTTCCAGCAGCTTGGAGTCTCCACTGTTTGAAAGGGAAGGCGGGGAAAAAGAGAATTAAACGCGACAAAGGAAAACTTAAAAACACACAAGAGAAAATGGAAAAGACACCGCGATGGCTTTTATGATCTGCTCTCTTGATTTATACTTTAAAAGCTGCAGAACAAATGGCGACTTTTTCTTATATTGTTACAACTAAGTAGATACATTTACTGGTTAATTAGATCATTTAAAGTCAATTGTGTATGTCAGCTTCTATACATTTGAAACAAGAGTTCAGCATGGATGTTTTTTATATCCGATGGACAGCTCAATCAAGTCCCGCCATGTCATGCTTCTGTGCAGTATGTATGAGCGACATGCCAAAAAATCTTTAAGTATGACATACCATTCTCTGCTCTCTCGATACGGCTGTGTGTTATTATAAGCTCAACTGGCAGGTAATGTTTAAACTTTGGCTTCTCCACCTTTTTTTTTTTTTAAATCTTGTGGGTTTTCTTGTGGGTCACTTATGGCAATTTCAAATCAAGTCTCAAGTTTTCGAGGGCAGATCCAAGTCAAGACTCTCATGGGTTAAATAATAATAATAATAATAATAATAGGAAATAAAGGATATTCATACATCTCCATGAATACAGGGAGGGTGACTAAAATAGGCTTGCGTTACTCAGGGTAACAGGAAAGCAGGCATGCAATAATAACTGTAAGAGTTGGAATATAATGCAATGTTACACTGGGTCCTAACTAATGATTTATACATATTAGATCGATGTCTTTATGTCCTTTGTTTGTTGAGATGGTCACACGTGTGATGGTATCCTAAAAGCATAGCTCAAGTATGAGCAGAATGTGCATAAGTGCACAAGCTCTAGATGAATAAAACACTCCTAAAAGATGATAGATTATTAACATCTTTCTCAGTCCTGCTGCAAAAACAAATTCAATGACTTTATTCTGAGAATTATTAACTAAGACACTTCATGTAAGGTAGTTAATCTTTCCTCAGCCAGGCAGGACAACTGAACTCTGTTGGATCATTAATCAGGCGAGCTCTGCAAACATCCTGTCAACAGTTTATTGTTGGATACTGTCTCACAATCCTGCAAGACGTAGTAGTTGTTGTAGGGAAGGTTGTGTGAAGGATGTGAGTTGGTAAAACATGTCATAAATCTTGAGAAGATGCTCAGAGAATTGGGTCAAAAATGTGTTTGAGATGTGACTTCCATTTAGTTGTCCTCTAAATTTTCAGAAACGTGCAGAAAAAAACATTTTGTCCGTCAGAGCCCCTAAAGACAACAACTCCAGACATACTGCTACATACGCTATCAGTCTAATCTGAAATCTGTTTCTTGTGTGTTTCTTTTAGATTTGTAATGGTCGTATCATGACAGGAGTCAAGCGAACAGATTCATTATTATTAAATGTCAAGTTATTTCAAATAAATCATCTTGAGAGAGAGTCTACTGTCCATGCTCTCGTGGAACTGGTGCTTAAAGTTTTTGTTTCTTATGAAACTTAAAATAGAAGAGAAGACAACTTTTGCATCTATGAAGCTGCAACCAAAAATATTTCAGGCGACAATTTTCATTAGGACTTTAAGCCAGTTGATAAATAAGCTTATCATCAAACTCTAGAATTCTAGCTAGTAATGAGACACGTTTAACAAACTCTTTTGAGTGTGTGTGTGTGTGTGTGAACGTGTGTGTTTGTATACCTGCTTGTGGGGCTGATGAAGGTGAAGGATATCAGCTGGTTCCAGAAAGGATCATTCTCTGATATAGACACAGTGCCCACCAGGGACTTGAGGCTGGGGTTCTCGGACAGGTCACTGACCTGGCTGGTGTTGGCACCCATCTCTACTGGCTCCAATCAGCCAGACTCACCTCTACTCACTGCTTTTTCACCAGGCATACGCCAAATCCTAGGATGGAGAAAATTACTTTGATCAGAAAGATGAATCTTCAACGAAACAACACAGCACATGTAACCAAAAATAGGCATCGACAGAGGCCCATGTACAGGATAAAAGGTGGGACTGGAAGTTTCAAAAAGCTCAAGATGCTCCAATACATCCAGAGCTCCGCTGCTCGTCTCCTCACACACTCCTGCACCAGAGACCACATCACCCCCGTCCTTCATGACCTCCACTGGCTCCGCATCCATCAGTGTATCAACTTCAAACTCCTCATCATCACCTTCCTTCAAAGCCCTTCACAACCTGGCTCCCCCCTACATGTCTCACCTCCACCACCGACACACTCCCACCCACACTCTCAGGTCTGCAGATAACCCCCCCCCGCAGGACAAACCTTTCTCTGTTGCTGCTCCCACCCTCTGGAACTCACTCCCAAAAAACATCAGAGACTCCCCCACACTCACCTCCTTCAAGAAATCCCTCAAAACTCACCTCTTCAACATTGCCTACAACCACTAACTCCCCCTCCCCCTACATTACTTCTTCATTGTACTGTCCTCATCGTTTTTTGTTTTGTTTTATGGTTTTATATTTTGTCAAAGCGTCTTTGGGTTCCGAGAAAAGCGCTACAAAAAATCATCATATTATTATTATTCAAAAGCACAGAATACAGATTCAAAGATTTAAATTGTCGTAAGTATGATTGAAATTCAGATAAATATCACATCATCATACATCGTACCAAAAAAGGTTTTGTTTACAAATTTCAGGAGCTGGCAAAATCTCTTGGGTTAAAAAAATTTGTACTTAAGCTAAACAGATCCTCTACCAATTCATTCCATTCATTCATGACAGGCCAATCTTACAACAGGATGGGGACATACTGGACCAGGACACGTGCTGTGTTCTCTTTAACAGACACACCTTTGACTAACAGGCGCAGCCAGCGAAGCAACACTTGCACAAGTAAACCACGATATATTAACGATATATAACCAGATATTTTGTGATTCTGACGTGCCGATCACAGGGTACGCATTAAATCCTAGTTCCTATGTAAGATAATTTACTACATTTTCATAATTTTGGTTCATGCATGTTTGCACGGACTTGCTCCTCCTCCTCTGAAGGACTTTATGAAGCTGAAGTCTGCCAGTGGGATCGGCACCGGGGCCCGAGGAGACTGTGGGGTCCCACACAGACGCACCACATTCAGACAAACTGTTCTGTCAGTCAAAGGAACTAAATGTTGGAATATTCTCCCACTCACAATAAGAGACTCACAAACATGTGCAACCTTCAAAACACACCTCAAACAATGGATAAAAGAAAACCAAGTCTGTGACCACTTTTAACCTCTATTATTGTCTTGTGTCACTTGTATTTGTATTTCTCTGTTACCTGCCTATAGGGACAACAGATTGGAAACTAGCACTTCTGCTATAATCTGGCATTTTTACAGCTGTAATTGTTACTGTTCATTAATATGCACTGTCCCTAACACATAAATAAATAAATAAATACATTTTTTTTAAAATAGCCACTGCTGGAAAATAATTGTGTGATTATTCTCCAGGAGTAAAGTTTAGTTTAGCTCTTGATGATGTATCTCTTGGTTCAGATGGGCATGCATTAGCTAGCTCATCATCCAGGAGCAGGAAACAGCCTGAGGTTGAGGCAGTCAGGTGGGAACACGAATGATTCTTAGTTTGCATGGTGTCTTTTCCTACATTCATCTCTGATTCATATGCTAGTCCAGTCAAACGGCGGGGTAAACACTCGCTGTCCAGAAGAAGAAGAAGAAAAAAAAACACAGCTAACGTCCCCCCCTGCTTGTTTGCAATCAGCTGACCGCTCGGCTTACCTGTCATCAACGATTCTCGCACTTTCCGCGGCTCTTCACGCGCCCAGGGTCGATACCGGACGACTGTTTTTTCCACACAGGTAAGGAGTTTACTGCAACGTGTTTCACAAACACCCCTGACAACGCGAAATACTTCAACCTGTGCGGCATGTAAGACAATTAAGTTTACTCTACATACTACTGTCCTCCATGTTTTCCACGTCGCCACCCCTTGCGTAATGACGACACGTAAGTCGTTTTGTACGTATGTGACGTTGCAGTTAGAAATGGGGCAGATAGATCCCGAGTGTCTGTCTGGTCTTTACATTTCTATGTAGCCTACTTTTTTTTTTTTCTTTTTTTTTTAATATCTCTATTAATTTGACAGGTATCCTGATACAATAATCATTAAGGACAGTTTTTAATTTTTTTTGTAACATGTCACAAACCCCCCCTCCCCACCCCACACACACACACACACACACACACACACACACACACACATACATTACAATAACATAACCATACCAGGGGGCAAAAAGAAAAGATAAGCACAAAACACAAACAACAAAAAAAATAAAAAAAATAAAAATTGTAGCCTGCTTCTACATCTTTATATATAAAGTAGAAACTCTTGACAACCCCCATAGGTTGTTCTCATGTTATACATTCACTGCTATCATATTTATTTTGTCTGTATATGAACACAATTAGCATCAATGCACTTTTAAAATATATTTTTTAATCTTTTATTCTCAAACATTAAACTCAAATTGGAAATTGTCTTGACAAAAAAATAAAATGAACACAGGAACGTGTAAATAGGCTGTTTGATGTTTATATCTTGTAAACTAAGAAAAGGCTAAATATATGTATTTTTTTCTAATTCTCTTAGAAATACTGACTAATATAAAGTCTGAAAAGAAATCCCGTTTTAGCCTATACATTTATTACAAGCAACAGAGACAGGCTATTTTGATCAAATGATAAAAAGGTTGATCCAAATCATTATCTTAGTCTGTAATCAGGTCTGTGTTCAAAATGCTTCCCATTAGAAATACTAGAGAGACAGCCCTTTCAACATTCATCTGACAGAACGTCAAAGAGCAAAAACAGGCTGAACCACAGATCCGACTTTAGGTTGGTCTCTCGACCTCTATAGGTTATTCACGTGTAAACAAAGAACATTCTCCCTTTGGTAATTATAAAAAAAGCCCTCAAAACCACACAAGGTCTTTTCTATTTTTGTTACATTTTGTAAGAAATGTGATGTCATCCAAGACAAATGGGGAATTTCTTCTGTAGATTCCTGAGATCAATTCGTTTCAATTTCATCAAGGTCGACATTTCAATAGGGGCATTATTTACTTAACCGCTTTCACATTTTTCCTGGATAATTACATCCCTTTAACACTTCTCACAAATATTAATCCTAATCTATCCTTCTGTCTTCCTGTTTTTCACTACTGTAGTCACAATCATTATTCCGACTTCTGAAAGAAACTTGAATATTCACAGATGCAATAATTCTTTCTTGCAGCACAGTGACATTTTCTGTCAAAATCATCACATGCTGCATTCGTAGTTACCAAGCATTTGAATTTAGCTTCAGTAAATTAAGCTTTTTAACATATTGTTTCAAAATACAGACATTCAGGTAAAGCATTAATCTATAACATCCTTACAGTCACGTTTTGTCAACATTACACACGATATATGTCAATCGATATGGGAGAAATAAATGAGTTCAGAAATCAGTTCTTGATTGAAGATTTTGTTTTATTCATTCATCAAACTGCCATTTGACTTATAAAAGATATTTAATAGAGATAGTTTCTTCAACACAGTCTATGCAGGGATCAATTAACAAAGAAAATATATCAACAATAACCAAATTCTCAAAGTTACCGTTATACAAACAAATGAATCTGTACACATAATATGGAGAGTTTTAAAACCACTCCATTCAAAAGAAGATGATAAGTTAATTCATAGTTTCTCTATATTATTAGAATTGAATATTTACATTGGTTAAGATGCATTATAAACATATAGCACTGTCAGTCTGTCTTCTTGTCTGCTGCTATAGTGTCTCCGTTGGCAGTGGCTACACCATTGCTTTCAGGCTGAAACAAAGGAGAAAGAAAGTTTGTTAATTGATAAAACAATAAGCTCACATCATCAAAACATGAAATACAGTATGACACATCCAACATAAAATAGTATACTTTCACTGCACAATGCAAAAGAAAAATATACTAGGAGGTAAAAAGCTTAATTATTAAAAAGGCATTCAAAGTTTTTTTGTTCCTCTCTTAAATTACCTTGCAAGTCCCATTGCTAGTCTCAGTAGCTTTTTGGTCACTAGTGCCTGTCTCCTGGACTGCTTTTTTGGTCCAGAACATGTTCATAATCGGGGAAATGAAAGGGTAGAGGATAGGCTCCAGGAATCTCTTGTAGACCCACAACAGGACCGGAATCACAATACAGGGAATGCACACCATGACTGCAGCTCGGTCACACTACTCCAAAATGAAGAATCTGAAATAAAGAAACAAAGACAATGAGATTTCAAAGCTGTCAAACATTGGATTAATTTGTCTTTAAGTGACCAAAGGGGTATACAAAATTACCAGACATGTCAAACATTGTAACTGTAATGACACAGAGCTCATGGGGACTCAACCTGTCATCATATTGTTATGCATCAAAACAGCGACAAAAACGGCTCCTCCTTACTTTAACTCTATAATCCAGGTGTACACTCCCTCCCGCCCACTACACTCAGCCAATGAAAGCCGTCTGATCCAACCTTCACAACAGGCTCCTAAGTCTCTAACTAGACTCTTCTCCTCCTCTGTCGCCCCTCGGTGGTGGAATGAACTACCAAACTCCATTCGATCTGCAGAGTCCCTCTGCATCTTTAAGAAAAAGCTAAAGACCCAGCTCTTTCATGAATACCTACTAACTGATGGCCTCAATATCATTGATGATGATGATGGTTGTCACGATTGTTTTTGTTTGATAACGACGACTTATAAGATGGTTTCTATACTGATTAGAACTCTCAACAACTGCTGTCAATGTTGTGCTTTGCCTCTGGTCACTTCCTGTCAGCACCTGTGTGTCCAATCAGACTCAAAGCTGATCGTTTGCTCTTACTGACATTGTTCCCTTTTTTTCTAGATCCTTGCTTGTGTTGTACTTACTCTCTGATGTACGTCGCTTTGGATAAAAGCTTCTGCTAAGTGCCACTGACCACCTGCCTGGAGGAGATAGAGGCGTGGATGAAGAACAACTTTCTCAAGTTAAACAGCTCCAAAACAGAAGCTATTCTACTTGGCACCCCACACCATATCAAGTCATCCCCCATAACCACCATCGCCTTTTCTGGCCAAGTCATCCACCTCTCTCCAACCGTCACAAATCTCGGCATCAAAATGGACCTTCAACTGAACTTTGAAGCCCATCTGTGCAAAAACTCATTCTACCACCTCAGAAACATTGCCAAACTCCGTCCTACACTCTCCCTCTCAGATGCAGAGAAACTCGTCCACGCCTTTGTCACCTCCAGGCTGGACTACTGCAACGCACTCCTCATCGGGATCCGTAGCAAGAGCCTCCAGAAGCTCCGACATGTCCAAAACAGCGCTGCTAGGGTCCTGATGAGGGTGCGTAAAAATGAACACAGCACACCCATCCTTCAGACACTACACTGGCTCCCTATTTCATTCAGGATCCAATACAAAGTCACCCTTCTCACCTACCAGTGCACCCATGGAAATGCCCCCCCCCCCTATCTCAAACAACTCCTCACCCCACAATCCTCCGCTCTGGAAACACCGCCCCCCCCCCCAGGACTAAACTCCACACCATGGGTGACCGGGCCCTTCTGCTCCTCTGCTCCACAGTCTGTGGAGCACTCTCCTCCGAGCAGCTGAGGGCCCCACAGTCTGCTGACGCTTTTAAAAAAGGGCCCTAAAAACCCACCTTTTTTTTTAACAAAGCCTTCTGCTGGTGCTTTTAGTTTCGTTAGTTGCTTAGTTGATTACATTTATTTTTATTTCTATTTTTTTTTCTTCCTGTAGCACTTTGAGATTTTTTTTTTGTTGCAAAAATGTAAAGTGCGTTACAAATTAAATGTATTATTATTATTATTATTATTATTAAGTGAATTGTAGAATCATAAGGTATGAATGAGCCTCCACTTAGTTTGACTTAAATGTAGAGAAGTACATCAGAAATAAATAATAAAAACATTTACATAATTAACTAACATAAAAAAAAGTATGTTTAAATGGGAGTACTGTTTCACTTTATTCTCCATGACACTGTAGTAAACACATGTTTGTTGCCCATCACTAAAGAAGACAACATCTGTGCAGGAGGTGGCAGAAGTGAGGCTTTGTTATAATCTCATAACAACCTGAATCGGAGCCCTTTTGAGTCTTTAAACTGCAGATAACATTTGATTCACTCGGCAGTCTCCTTCTTACCGAACAGCAAACACTGTCATCTCCGCGTCATCAGACTGCTGGCTAACGCTAGCTGTCTGCTAAAGCTCGGTTATGTATAAGGAACTTTACTGAAATTGCGGACTAGTCTTAGTTTCCCAGCCTTCTGTCTCTAGCTGAATCAAAAAAAAAAGATCTCGGAAAGCTCGTGTAGCTTCGTTATTTAAACGTACACCAGATATTTACCTTCCGCTTGGGAACTAGCTGCGAGGAAATCTCTCGAATGCGATGATAGCGCATGCGCAGAATCTACTTCCGTGGCAGGCGATTAAAAAAAAAGAAAAAAAAAAGCGGAAATATCAGGGCGCCTTTCTTCAAAACAACACTGAACGAGTGTCTGGAATGCCTTTTTGTTGGTTATCAGTAACACATTATTTTAATTTTATGTCTCACTGATGTAACTTAAAAGAAAAAAGTTGCATTGACGTGTCATTGTAAGCGTCAGTGAGATATTTGTGTATTATTAAACACCTATCACATGTTATTCGGTGCCATACAACCTATCTTCAAATAGGTAAGTAACATGCTTTAGAAGTTTCAACCTCGCTGCTATTTTGTTGTTATTGTGTGTTCGGGCTTTACCCTTCTTAACATTTGTCTTTTGTTCTGTGTGTGTGTGTGTGTGTGTGTGTGTGTGTGTGTGTGTGTGTGTGTGTGTGTGTGTGTGTGTGTATTTCAGTGCCACAATGCCTCTGTTAACTCAGTCACAAGCCGATGATGAAGAGTACGTTTTAGTTGCCAGCTTGGACAATGCTCGCAATCTGTCCAACATCCTGAAAGCCATCACCTTTAAAGACCATGCCATCTTCAGCGCCACACCTACCGGCCTCAGGGTCACTGTGGAGGACTCCAAATGTCTGCAAGCCAATGCCTTCATCCAGGTGCGTGTGCCAAACACATATTTATGACCTTGTTAATGGTCAAGGAGAACACAGCAAAGTGTTTGAGTCCTCCAAATGTGTCGTTTGTTTTCGTGTCTTCTTTTAAATTCCAGGCCGAGATCTTTCAAGAGTATACCATAAAGGAGGATTTGGTGGGGTTTCAGGTCAACCTCACCGTTCTGCTGGACTGCCTGAATATCTTCGGGGGAAGCACAGTGCCAGGTAGAGAAAAAAGAAAACCTGGCTGGAGAATGTAAAAGATAAAGATAAAGATAAACTTTATTGATCCCCCGTGGGGGAAATTTGTGCATTACAGCAGCTCCAGAAAACGGGACGGGAATATACTTATTAAAAATAAAAATAGAAGTTAAGAAACAGAGCAAACATATTTACATCATTTAAATAAAAAAAAATGCAATAATGTAACTGGATATATCTGTATTTGTCACCATTCCTTTTCTTTTTAGCTGAGGTTTGTAAATGATCCTTCTCAGGCATTCCCCATTTCATGGTTTTCCTTTCTTTTTTTTATTATTATTATTATTATATATTTTGTTTTCTGATTGTGTAATACTGGCTGGTTGGTGGGTGGCTAGGCTTGGGGGAGCATGAAGTGTGTTTAAATGTTTGGTATTATGTTTTGGATTTACCTTTTCGATTTTGATTTTGTATTATGATGATTCATTTTATGTTTTGTAAGGACCCCTTGAAAATGAGATGATGCATCTCAAGGGGCTATCCTTGAAATACAATTACAAAAATTGTCGCTTTCGGGCCATTGCAGGAGTTTCAACAGCCTTGCGGATGTGCTACAGGGGATACGGTTACCCTCTGACCCTGTTCCTGGAGGAGGGTGGTGTTGTGACTGTGTGCAAAATTAACACGCAAGAACCAGAAGAGCCCATTGATTTTGAGTTCTGCAGCAGCAACGTTACAAACAAGGTGAACTTCTACGAGTTCATATCATGTAACCTATATATGACAGTCCCTGCAACTGGTTGATTTGATCGCTACTCCTACACCTCTTGTTCCTCTTGAAGGTGATCCTGCTGTCAGAGAGTCTGAAGGAGGCCTTCTCTGAACTGGACATGACCAGTGAGGTTCTACAGATCACCATGTCCCCCAGCCAGCCATACTTCAGGTGTGAACATCCGTTTATCAACCATACATAAATTGCAAATCTATCAAGTTAAGTTCATACTTAATTTTAACCAATGTTGCTGACTGTGGCCTTTTTCAGTGAAACTGATCTTTGGTTTTATCTGCTCCTCAGATTGTCTACATTTGGGAATTCTGGAAATGCCCATTACGATTACCCCAAAGACTCTGACATGATGGAGCTGTTTAAATGCACCAAGACACAAACCAACAGGTTAGCACAGACAGAATAAACTAACCTGTAAGGACCCTGAGCTTGACGAGGGGTGTGCCCGACATTAAGACAAAAGTAACAAAAACACAGCAGAGACAAAGTGAAATTAGTGGGTTAATTAATAAAAAGGTACTTATCTTTCCACAAATTCTTAACTGCTTTGGGTAACTGAGTTAATTCTCTTAAACTTTAGATATGTTAATTAAGAGAATGTCTCATGTTCGGCATTAATTATTTTCCAAACCACTCTCATTTTAAAGTCCTTGCTGCTGACTCACCAAATGTCCTGTGTTTCATGTTGTAATATCTGCAGTGAAAAAAAAAGTAAATTTACAACTCTCTAGAAATAACTTGTTGGATTATAATGTTGAACTCTATTCCGTCACACTCAGTATTTGTCTTATTCTTCCAGTATCATCTTTTATTAAAGCCCCCCCCCCCCTTCATTCTGACAGGTACAAGATGTCCCTACTGAAGCCGTCCACCAAAGCTCTGGCTCTATCCTGTAAAGTCTCTGTGAGGACAGACAGCAGGGGATTCCTCTCTCTGCAGTACCTGGTCAGGAATGATGATGGACAGATCTGCTTTGTAGAATACTATTGTTGCCCTGACGAGGAGGTGGAGGAGGAGTGATTCGACTCCACTTCCATTCAAGCAGCGTAACTCCAGTGGAGCCTGTTTGCTTTAAATGAGAAGAAAAAAAAAGTCTGCCAGAGGAGGCAGCATGGCCAGTGGGGTTGCCTGAGGAAAACAGAGAGCTGGACCTCGGGCAGAATGGACACAGTTGAAGGGTTGTGTGATGATCAGTCACCAAACATTCAGATTCGTTTTGAGCAGATCCTCTGAATGTGTGGAAGTTAATGCCCCCCTCCCTGGTCTTATGCACCTGGGTGAATGACTGTCATACTGACTTAAACATTGCAGACTGATGTATAAATTGATAATACATAGTTCCTATAAGATGTATTTACCCAGAAGACCTTGCGCAGGTGTTTCATGGAACATTCTGGGTGTACAAATCTGTTAAATGCTGTTATTGATCTTATGTTTCTGGTAGTTCCTGCCTCCTTTTTTTTTCTGTAGACTCATGCAGGTCGCTGTTAAGACAACCAATAGAAAAGATATTTAGACTTCTGCTCTCTACAGGATATCAGTTCATCAGTAGGACTTCACATTTCTTACTGTATATGTTGACACCTTTGTTATTCAGAAAACACCAGATGATAGTGACAGTATGTTTGAATTGTTTAATTTCCATGATATATATAAAACTACTGTAGTTACACAACAGCAATAAACACGTTCTTCTTACATTGACGGAAAATTCTTAAAAAAAAAAAAAAGAGACATTTTGAAAGGTGTAGTCTTGTATAAGCGCTGACTTTTTTGGTCAACACTTTACACAAGAGTCCTGAATTAAAGAACCTTTTAGAAATATTGTGGAACATTAAACACAACAATAACATATTACAGTTTGTGGCATTTCCAAATCTGTTAATTAGGGGGATGACATGAAATACAAAGTCTCTTGACTGAACTGCACTGTTGCACACACAGATTTCCTTGAGACAACTTTGGATGAAGGTCGTAGTTAGCCATTCATTCAGTTTAATCCAGTCCATCCATCTACCTCCGTGCCATCCTTTGTCTTTTGAAAGCTTTGTGTTTGTTCTTCTTCACCACTTTGGGCTCAGGTGCCTCTGTCTGAATGTGAACAGGCTTGTCCTCTGCCGGTGTTAAGAAGACGTCGGCTGTAACGTCTGTGGTCACGTCCTCCTTCGCCTCGGTCCTCTTCATTTTCTGCAGCTCCTTCACCATCTGCTTCTCTCGCACTCTGGCTGCGGCTGCCAGTCGAATCTCTCGCCGGTGCTGCAGGTGTGTGAAAAGAAAAAGGGGACTAAATCGTGTGCTTGATACAATGTGCGTACACTTCATGAATTTTGCCGTAAACTTAACATTTGTACAATCTAAACTAGCTAGCACTGTTCTTTACCATGTTGGGAGATTTGAATTTTGGGTTTTCGAAGAGCGTAGATCCGCCAAAGCTCCCCCGAAACACCTTGATGAGGTTGAGAACAAAGCGTGGGCCGATCTCTACAAGAGAGGCGTCCTCTTCAATGATCTGCAAGTGACACGATTTTTGCAAACAGGAACAGTTAAATCTCGATTAAATAAACAAAAGACATAGGCAAGAATGCTTTAGACAAAACCTTACCTGGTAGTTTCTAAACCATATCCTGTCGTCTGCAATACTGAACGTGTACACGTGGTCCACAAAAGGCTGACTCTTTGGGTGGTAGTGCGGAGTGGCAAATGTCTGCAACCACAAAACATTATTGCGTCTTTAATTTCACAATGTAGATATCGCCCATTCTGTTTTTCCAACAACTCACTTTATTACATTCACTGCTGGATCCAAACGTTAAGTGTTGAGACTTTCTAAGTCATCGTCAAAGTTTAGTGTCTTGTTACTTGAAATACTGACCTGGGTGAAGAGCTCCTTCAGTAAAGCATAGTGGGGCTCCTTGTCAAATTTCTGTGGGAGACAAAGGATATCAGGCCTTGTTCAGTTTCTAACTAAGCTGATCAGACGTTAACATACATATGCTGACTTCAGCAAGAGAATACAAGCTGTTAATAGCTGATACAAGTGAGGGAAATCATGCAGAGAGTGGGGAAAACTGCTGCTTTTGGTTCAAATACTTGAAACATCAAGAACAAATTGTTTTGTTTTCTGGACTGTCAGAACCACAGAACTTTTATAATCTAGTAAAGCAACAGATGTTGTAAAAAATGAAAGGATTTCTCAACTTACGTATAACATTTCAGTCAAATTCCATTAGGTTTAATGATATCAAATAAGGATTTGGAAATCTTTTTTTTCCACTTTTTGAATAAGCACATAATTACAATACATGCAGTGTTACTCACAGGATCGAATGAGAGCAGCGGCCTGGATCCTTTGAGGCAGTTCCTGTCATCTTCAGTTCAGCCAATGTATGAACTGTGGAGAAAACAATCAGTTATCCAAAAAAGGCACACGGTGACAGATGTTGCACGCTACAGTTCAGGACTGTACAATAAAAAGAGAAGATGCTCACTGTTCTGAACCAGAAACTTTGCTGAAGGTCCATGAGGGCTGTTGGAAATCCTGCGAGTCAAAAAAAGAAAATGGTTTTACTTTAAATGTTTTGTTATTTGGAAAAAGCCAAGATCATTTCACAGAAGAAAAAAAAACAACCTACCACATGTAGAGGTCCTGCTTCTTCTTTGCCTCAAAAAACAGGCATTTGTTGCAGTTTTTTATTTCACACACCTGAGGGGAAACCATTAGCACTGCAGTGATACATCATGTGACATAAAGTGTGCTCAAATTTTGGAAAACAAACTCACCTCATTAACCACAAACAACTTGTCTTTTCTGTCCATTTTTGTATCTAATAAAAAGAAAACCATTCTTATGACATGTAGATGAAGAAAAAAAAACACATCTCTGCACAACATTAAAAAACCAATCGCTGCATGAGGTCGGATGAAATGATGCAGAGTTTAATATTGAGCACTAACCTGCTTTTGAATGAGGCATCATGGTCCTCAGGTCTTGCATTAAGTGTCTTGTCCTGAAGTTGATTCCTCTTGAGGAGAAAATGAGAACCCTTTCCTTGTTGGTCCATCGACCCTGTTTAAGAAATCAACCCACAACACAAAAAAACAAAAAAAAAAAAACACATATTGAGTGTTAACATTGTTTCTGTTTAATCCATATGCATTGTTTTACAGAAGATAGAAACTAGTCCACGGTGAAGTTAGCCTCAGTGGCTGGAAACAATCACAGTCACTTACCATTGACACAGGCGGTGGGATTGTGACTTCATTTTTCTTCTCTTGTTCGGCTTGCTCCCGTGTTTCTTCTCCACCTGCGACAAATTTGACTTTCTTGGCCTTTTTATCGTTAGACTTTCCCCCACGTTTTCTCTTGAACGCCGACATGTTTGGACCGGGTTTTGGAGGCTGACACAAATCTCGCGTGGCCAGAAGTGAAAACGTCGAGCTAAAACAACCCCACGTGCAAACGGAGTGGAGAGAGAGGCTCCTGGTGGCGCGGAGGTGGTACTGCAACCACTAGCGTGCAAACTTTGATGTTATTTTGTGTGGCAGAAAATATAAAGGTGCGAAATACAAAAGTGCAAAAAGATACACTACTGCACCTGATCTCATTTTGCAGTATAAGAGTCAGTTTGGTTGTTTTCTTTCTATCTGAACATATCCTCTGCTACAAATAAGTTAAATCCACTGGCCAGCCTTCAATATATTTTTTTTTAAACAAGAAAATGTTTGTGAAAAAACCTTTTGAGCAACATAAAATGACATGATATTAACATTTGTTGGAAGCAAAAACACAAAAGTTAAAGGAAGATGTACTGATTTTGTTTTCAATTGGAGCACCATATGTATGAAACTATGTAAGTAACATTTTCCCATTACTCATATTGCCCAAGTTAACAAGTATCCTGTGACCTCTTTTTGTGGCATGTTTTATTTCTCTTGAATGTGTATCCAATATTTCAAATAATAAATCCCAATGTTTACTAGATGATGTGATCTAAGACATCCAAATGGCTCCAAAAAACACATCTTGCTTTCCCAGAAAGATGAAAATAAATGTAAAAAAAAAAGAAAAAAAAGGGGATAATCGGCCCATGAGAGATTTGTCAGAGAAACTTTGAAATTATTTTGTGTGGCTGAAAATATAAAGGTGCCAAATACAAAATGATAAGATAAACTACTGCACCTGCTCTCATTTTGCAGTATAAGAGTCAGTTTGGTTGTTTTCTTTCTATCTGAACATATCCTCTGTTCAGCTACACAAAGATACAGAGATAATAATGATACAAAATATTCTTCAAATTAATTAATTTAATTGTGTAAGACTTGTGTAAATCAGTGTAGTGATGAAAGATACAACAGAAAACTCAATAGTACTTGGTCTTTTTCGATTCTCTGATTTTTTTTTAAATTTTCAAAATCCAAAAACAAAAAAACGCCATCCAGAATTTACATTTTTAGACACTTCAAATCCATTATTACCCCATTTACCTTTTCTGAAGATTATTTCCTTTTTAATATAGATGGAAATGGAAATCAAATTAATTTTCATAAATCATCTTTCAAAAACAATCAACGACACTTGACAGAGTAACTTTTATAAAAGTAAAACAAAGCACATTAAAAAACGCTCAACATGAGCAGTTCAAGGTAAAAATCATTCAAACTGCAGAGGGCTCCAGAGAGCCAGTTTAACATCGAATCTGCTGAAATCCCGTAACAACAAACGAGACCAGCTCCGACGAGATCTCGCGACACCGAGCCGGCAGCTCAACCTCTCGTTTCCATCCGCCGCTTACTGAGTATTTATCAGCCGGTCGATGCATTTTCACAATGAAAATTGATTCACTTACAGTTGAATATGTAAGGCTTTAACACAACACTACTATCGCGTACTACTTAGCACTCTTATAACATTTAAGAAACAGACAAAGAGACGCTGTCTGACCATTAGCATGCCGCTATAAGCTACTTGCTAACGTTAGCTTCGATTGAAACAACGTGAGTAACATTTTAGTAATTTGAGTATTTCGGCGAGTTTGTATTTATTATTATCTCAAAATGAAGTGCCACTATGAAATGTTGGGTGTGAAAAGAGACGCAGGAGACGACGAATTAAAGAAGTCTTATCGTAAATTGGCATTGAAATGGCATCCAGGTAAGTTGTGGTGGAAACCATAAACACCTGTGTGATTTAAATGTATTTAATATTTCGTCTGTTTATTACATTTTTTTGTGCAACAGGCTTTGGTTAAAATAAAGAACGACAAGCTGTTTAAGCTTAAATTGTGTGACACATCAGTCTGACCTGTTACATGACATTTTGTGTTAAAAGTGTTATTTTAAACTTGTTGGTTTTTGTCAAATTAATTATTTCTTTTCCCCCCCCCAACCTTTTATAACGCTGACCATCCCAGATAAAAACCTGGACAATGCTGAGGAGGCTGCAGAGCATTTTAAGCTGATTCAGGCAGCTTATGATGTCCTGAGTGATCCCCAGGAGAGAGCATGGTGAGGACATTTGATCTCATCCTGGGTTAAAAGTAGTTCCTGCCACAAATTCTCTTTATTCTCTCTTTTTCAAAAAAGCATGCTGGTAAAGTTTTTTATCTTTGTGTTGTTTTGCAGGTATGACAATCACAGGGAGGCTCTGCTGAAAGGAGGAATCAGTGGAGATTATGAAGATGACAGCATTGACTTACTGC